CATACCAATTGAAGGTACGTAGCATCATGCTTGGTTCCACTGGACCAATTTGCCGAAGCTTATTCATGTAGAAGGGTTTGAACGCTTCCTTTAACAGCTTTCGCTAGGTACTCATAGATCGCCTTTACCCGTCTGGCTAGAAGACTAACTATTTTGTGAAGACTCACCAACTAAACTGCAGTCGGATTCAATGCAGGCATTGGTGATGGAAGCAACCACCTCTCTGGCATGTTCTCTGTTCAGTCGCCCGGTAACGTAGTAGTCCACGAATGCGATCGGAGCAGCACAGTGACAAAGAACGTCATTGACACACATACCAACAACGTCGTAGCCAATACTTGAATAGTCGTTCAGAGCATCAGCTATCTGAAACGGCACACTTCGGACCAACATTTTTCGCCATCGGCAGAACAAGAGCTCTTCTGGAAGTTAGGAAAATCAGCTACTCGTAATGTTTCCAGACATACCTCAATTTTAGTTCCAACTCCATCTATTCCAATCACTAACTCTGCACCATTGAGATAGCCCGCTCTCTTAACATCAACGACAGCCCCAAAGCCACCAATCTGAAGGAATGTCTATTGCAATACTTTAGTGGGATGGTGCGACCAATTGTTCTTAAAATGAAAATGAAAGAAAAGCTGCTAAGAGAAGCAACAGTGAAGGAAATTAAGGAAAACAGCCTAAAACTCGCAAAGTGGGAAACCTGTTTTCCCCGTCCGTTCGGGCGAGTCACATCGGTGTTAACGTCAAGCGCGGATGCTTTGATCCGCATTCTTAACACGGCTAGAGTCCGACGACGAGGAACGACCAGCTGAGGTAGGTGAGTAGGGAAAGATGCTCACTGGGATAGGTGATGAAACACAGACAGGTCGCTGCGAGCTCCACATTCTCCGCGAACACGCCATGAATCGTCGGGCATTCCCTCTGGGGCACAGCCTCCAATTATATTGACCCATTCCCCAACATCCTACTTATCGTGTCCCATGTTTCTAATAAAGGGGGTCTCCCAGGACATGGAGTGCTTTTTCGAAATGCCAAAATGGTCTTCTGCATGTGTAGAGGCTCATGTGAGGAAATCAGTGCCATGGTCGATTTTTCCTTGAACGCCCTCAAGGAATGTCAAAACAGCGTTGAAGAAACAGTCTAAAGTTCGATCCTCTCTCATGACAAATTTTGCATTTAAAAGAAATCGCCGTATTAAACCACAATAATGGCAATCTGTTTTCGAAGCGCCCTGGCTCTATTTGGTGGCATCTGGGTCTGTCAAACTGCCCTGCAAAGACAATAACTCTCACCGAGCATTGAACTCTGGACCCATTTGTCTCATCACCTGTATGTACTTGCTGACCGCGCTTCCAGAAATTATACAGGGGGCCAAAAAAAAAAGAGTCACTCCTACTCACATTCAAAACAGAATTAATTACACTTTGCCAAAACCAAACCGAATGAGCTCAATTGCATATTGAAGAGCACATTCTATTCTATCAAAAACATTGCATAGTGGCCTTCTACACCGACGACACCAGAAGATTTTCCCACGGAAACATGGTTCGCGGTACGAGCTCAACGGGGTCGTCGAGAAACCATAGATGATTACGACGTCTCTGAAACGCTGGTCAAAAGCCATTTTGCATAGTCAGAGCTAGTGTCTCTAAGAAGTCATTCACCAGTTATCCGATTGAAGAATTTATGTAGCAGCTTCAGAATGGAGCGATTATTGTAGGCCTCCTTAAGCTCGACGGTGATGACAGATGACGTCATATTCTGGAGACGGTGAACGCAGCGAAGGTGGGCCTGATTCTGCTTATGGGGGGACATCTAAGGAATGCCGTATAACTCCCAATAACAGCGGCATCCTTTGCGACGAAAAGTTTGATGATATGCGCCATAGGCAAAGTGACTCTTTTTTTTTGGCCCCCCTGTACATCACCGTGTTGTCACCCGCATGGCCCCTACAACACATGTGCAAGAAGGGGGTCGCAAATTCATCTTTGTAAAGATGCACGCTTCACCTACCCTACACCAGGATCATATGTAACTCACTTAACGAGCCCTTAATTTGACTGCGAACGCCTCACAAGATTCTGCTCAGCGAGTTTCCCAAAGTGAATAAAATGCGAATATAGGGCATGAGGAGCGAGCGCTCCTCTTTCGATAGCTTCTGCCCACACTTCCAGGTCACTACAATGTTCCCAGAGGTAAAGTGTAAATTTTTAGTGAAGCCTCACATAATTAGATCACTCTCCGAC